CCAATTAATAAGTGGGCTAAAGACTTAAAGATAGATTCTCTGAAGAAGAAATAAGAATGGTCAATAAACGCATAAAGACATGCTCAATTTCTCTAGCCATAAAAGAAATGGAAATCAAGAAAACGTTGAGATTCTACCTCACCTCAGTTAGAATGTCCATAATCAAGAAATCTAGTAACAACAGATGCTATAGGGGATGTGGACAAAAGGGAACCTTACTACATTGTTGGTAGTATAAACTTGTTCAACCACTTTGGAAAGCAGCATGGAAGTTCCTCAAAAGACTCCACATAGAGCTTCCCTATGACCCAGCAATCCGACTTTGGGCATTTTCCCAAAGGATCACAAACAAGGTCATACCACAGCTACCAGCACAACCATGTTTTTTTTTTTTTTTTTTTTTGTCGGTCGTGGGGCTTGAACTCTGGGCCTGGGCGCTGTCCCTCAGCTCTTCAGCTCAAGGCGAGCACTCTACCACTTGAGCTACAGCGCCACTTCTGGTTTTCTGGAGGTTTATTGGAGATACGAGTCTCACAGTCTTTCTTGCCCGGGCTGGCTTTGAACCGCGATCCTCAGATCTCAGCCTCCTGAGTAGCTAGGATTACAGGCGTGAGCCACCAGCGCCCGGCTTGCACAACCATGTTTATCTCAGCATTATTTACCATAGCTAAGATATAGAACCAACCCCAATGCTCCTCAGTAAATGAATGGATCAAGAAACTATGGTGTATAAATACACATTGGAATTCTATGCCTCCATCAAAAGAATGACATTGCCCCATTTTTTAGGAGATGGAAAGACATGTAAAAATTATATTAAGTGAAATAAGCCAGGCCCAAAGAAACATAGGTCTCATGGTTTCCTTTGTTTGCAATGACTAGACATGACTAGAACAAACAGAGAAGGTCAAAGACCATGTACATATGACCATATGAGATGATATTAAGTGAAATGGACCCCAACACAGGGACCCAAGTGTTTTTTTTCTTTCTTGATATTGTTTTTAATGTACTTATAATGCACTATGTGACTCTTTTGTTTCTTTTGTATGTTCTTCCCCCACAGTATAACCCCTGTGTTCACTGTATTTGATTCAGGTGTTCTGCATCTTGTATAAACATTTTTGTAATTTGGGGAAGGGATAAAGCGGAATGCTTAAATGGGGATGCAGTTTGACCCATTGTGACCATGAGATGTACAGGGCACTATGTTGAAAACAAGCTTCAAGTTAATGGGTGTGGGATAGGGATGGGGGGAAGGGGCACGGGGAGGGGCAGTGAGAGAAGTTGGCAGGTGGGATAGAAGGGATGGTAGGGGAAAAACAAAGGAGGGGGTAACAATGCTTGATAGGAAATGTACTCAGTACCCTACTCATGTAACTGTAACCCATCTGTACAGCATTTTTACAATACATTTTTTTCCAGGCTTTGATTAGCTATTTAGTTCAATGTAAAACCTAATTTATATTGCTCAATTCTTTTTTGTTGTTGTTGTTGGCCTTAGTGCTTTAGCTCTGGCCCTAGGCACTCTCCCTCAGCAATTCAGCTCAAGGGAAGCACTCTACCACTTGAGACACAGGGCAATGTTTGGTTTTCTGACTGGTTTATTGGAGGTAAGAGTTTCCCGGAGTTTCTTGCTCAGGTTGGCTCTGAATCTTGATCCTAAGATCTCAGACTCCTCAGTAAATAGGATTATAGGCATGAGCCACCGGCACCTGGCTATTGCTCAATTATTTTTATGCTAAAAGGCCGATGTTTGACTGTTTCTACCTAATATTACCTGAAGAAAGTTAGAAGAGTGATTGTTAAAGTGATGCAATTAGATGCATTTTGTAAACAACAAAAGTAACGGTCTGAGATTCCTCAAGTTTGTTAAGTTTGGACTCTTAGTTCAATGTCAGTCTACATGTCATTCTCCTGTTCTTCCTATTTTAATACCAAATGAGAAATATCAATACAACTAGTTTGTCTGAGGATAATTACTTTACATTTTTAAACATGTCATTTTGAGATCAAATGTTTCAAAGAGTTAATTGAAAATGCAATTTTTAAAAACTCACTAAGGAAACCAGGTGCGGTTGACTCACATCTGTCATACTAGCTACTCAGGATGCTGAGATCTGAGGATCAGGATTCAAAGCTAGCCCAGGGGAAAGTCTGTGAGATTCTTCTCTCTAATAAACTACAAGAAAATGGAAAGTGGCGCTGTGACTCAAATGGTAGAGCACTCTCCTTGAGCTGAAGAATTGAGTGATGTCACCCAAGTCTAGAGCTTAAGCCCTGTTATAGGGTCTGGTGGAGGGGATTCCACATTCCTCACAATGGGGACTTTATATTCCACTAAGGTCCACCGTGCACAGACAGCCTCATGTAAAAAGTTGCAGAAGTGAGTAACTGACCAGCCAGGGATGCAGCACAGATCCAGGATCTGAGACTGCGACCTCTAGCAGTCCTCAAGCTGGAGTTTTTAAGAGGTAGGTTACATACAGTTACATAGATGAGCCATGCAAAGTAGGTTTGGGGCATTTTCATTGGCTATAGTTATATGACCTTTAAATTCATTTGTTCTTTACAGTAAATATCATAGGTACAAATTTGCAATGGGCTGCCCATAAAGCGACTACTGGGTGGTGGTTTTTAATTGGTGGTCATAAGGCCCTGTTACTGAGGCAAGCAACCAAGGTTACAGAAGCAAAATATAACAAAAACATAGCCTTGAGTCACAGGAACATAGCCAAAATATAATCTTGATTTGGTAAGCATGACTAATACTATTAATGCAATTGACACTATTAAAATTATTTTTATTATAAACTCTTGACTAATACAGCATCTCAGAGCAGCTGGTGATAAGCCTCAAGGTTGTCAGCAGTCTTCTGCAAAGCTGCCAGCTTGGTAACCTTGATTGAGAGAGCGATGTTCTTTTGGATTTTAGCAAGTATGGAGAAGCAAAGGCTGACCAGTAGTCAGCCTTTATATGAGGTTTTTCTTTACCAGGAGGTTTTTTGCCCTTTATTAATATCAACTGAGATATTAAAACCTCATGACTGATAAAAACTCAGTAAGGAAATAAGAAATGTAAAGGAAAAGGAAAGTTATTAAATAAAAGCCTTCAGAAAGGAAATTGAGGAAACAAATTGTTTTCATTTGGGTAAAAAATGACTTGAGAAGCAAAAATTGTCTTCACTCTTTCTAACCACAAAGTGTTCAAGTAGCACCTGATCTGAGTAGGTCTTGAGATTCATAAAATAGAGCTTATTATAAAATAAATGGTATTAAATAATTTGGTTGATGATCAAGAAAATTATTAATCACAGACACTTGTGGGGATGTGGCCAAAAGGAATAACACTGTTGATAAAATAAGATAACAAAAGTTATAATATTACATGAACATTACACATACAAACATGTACAGGTGTTTTCTACGTCTATGTTTACATATGATGAGTGTTTGTCATGTTACTACTTAGAAGCTGAATTGTAGAACCAGGTACCATTCCAATCAAGCCACGAATGGAAAAAGTAAATTGAGTCACACAGACACAATGGAGGCTTGAGAATGCAATTATATTTGAGTCAGGAATATGGGAGGAAGTGGAGATCATTGTGTTCAGTAAATCACCCTGACAAATACATCAATAGTATATACTGGACACCGTGTGGAAAATGAAGTATAAAACATATTGGTGGGGAAGGGAGGGAAAAACTGGGTGACACTGTAAAAACAGAAACATACTCATTACCTGATTTACATAATGGTAACTCCTCTGTACATCACTTTTACAAAACAGATAGACATACAGACACACACACAGACACATAGATAAATAGATAGATGCATTATCACCCAATACAGATCCCTAATATTTCTCTCATTTTTGAAATGTGGGCAGAAGAAGTCTTAGAGTAATACAGTAGATATCAATGACAATGAAGTAGATATTTTAAGGTTTGCCATAAGGGATATCTGACACATGGTTCAGGAAGACATAGTAAACTTCGCTCCTGCAAGAGATGGAGGTGCATGGAGAAGAGAGAGGAAAAGGAAAGAGAGAGAGAGAGAGAGAGAGAGAGAGAGAGAGAGAAGGGGACTTGTGTTGAGCCAGGATAACAGCAAATGTGGAAGTGAACTCAGAGCCTGGGGAACCTGTCACAGTTTGAGGGAGTTGTGACCAGGGCAGTTCAGGAAGTGGCCTCAGCAGGTGAGAAAGTGACCTCAAAGTGTGGGCTCCTTTCCTGACTCACAGTCATGTGATTGACAGGTGACTACTGGTTTCAGGCAGGTGAAGAGGAAGTGGGGAAAGACTGTTCTCCTGGGAAGACTTAACAGAAGTAGAGTAATAGAGGAAGGAACAGTATAAAAGTTTGTTCTCTGAGCCAGGCATGGGTGGCTCATATCTATAATCCTGGGTATAGGAAGCAACAAGGATTTCTACCTCAGAACTCAAGCCAGGCTTGCGCCCAGCACTGACCTTCTTGCAAGGTCTTGCTACCAACACCATGTAGCTTTTGCATCCTTACTTTTCCAACTTACTTATACCAAGCCCTTTTTGATAAATATATGGAGCCATATCACATAACCAGCCACCACAGTGGGAAGCAGGACGCTATGCTGTGACCTTGTTTTCTCTTCTATTTAGAGAATATAATAGAGGAAACAGGTAGGGAGAAATGGACAGAAATAGCATCATGTGGCTGTCCAAGTGGGAACAAGAATTTCCCCAGCACACAGGACATGACCAGGACACACAGCAGAGCAAGACCCATCCATATACCCACAGATTCCAGGATCCTCAGTAGGCAGGCCTGCTATGTTCTCAGAATGTCATAGATCATAGAATATCTCTGTCTAACAGTGGATGGCCACAATGTATTGATAGATGCATTCTTCTGGTCAACAACATGCAAAAACTAAAGAAGTTCAAGGTTCAGAGTGCAAATGTCCAATAGGATGTGTGCCTTGACCTTGAAGTATTGATCTAAAATTGTTGAATTCAGGGATACTGTTGGTAACTCCTGCAGCAGCAAATAAATGCATTGACCACTTCTGGATGTTTCTTCATGTGGAGTTGGTATGGAAACCTGAATGGGTCATTTCTCCAAAGTTCTGTGGCTCCCTTGGCCCTGAGTTTGTGAATCTGTCCATCCTCATCTTTGATTGTGCTCCAATAACTCTGATTGAACCTTCGCTGGCGATGGCCCTCTATGACCTTTTGACCTTCACCTGGCATCCTCTGGTGTCATCCATTCCCATCATCCCTAGTGGCTTTCCTATTGGACTTTATGTTGTGTACTTTTTTCTTTTCAACTTTTTGCTTTCACACAAGTTTGTGAGCAACTCAACAAGAAAGGAATCCATCCCTAGAGTTTCATTATCTACAGTCTTGGATGAAATCACAGCCCTGAGGGTGTGGAGAGGAAGATGGTACACATGTTTTTCAACTTGTGTTTTGACCTTGAAGCCGGACCCCAGATACAGCCAGAGGGCAGAAGGGGCCCTGTATTCCTCTAGGATCGTGGAGGAGGATGGCGGTGCATCTCAGTGGCCATCCAGGTAACAAGAAGCCACAGAAACTGAAGATCCATTTAGATACCTGCCAATGCTGCAGGCTCAGTCTGCAGCCAGAATTGCAGCTCTATGCCAAAGCAGCAGCAATGTTCCCCGTGGCTCTGATACTGCTTCTCTTCCAGCTTCCACTCGGGGCCAGTTCCTCTGAAGATGCCAGAGGCATTTGCAGAGAGAAATATGTGGTCCATAGCAGGGGAGATGTGGTGATTGCCGGGTTTTTCCCCCTTTATTCTTGGGAATTTGTTCCCAACGTGAACGACCTTGCCATGCACCAACAGGGTTTTCAGTAAGTGATTTCTTTGGTTTTCTTAAAATTTGCATTTTCTGTTTGGTTATCAGACTAGTTGGCGGAAGTTTGGTTGCATCCACTAATGTTCTCTGGATCTACATTGTCCTCACCACAGCAGCTCTACTTTATTTCATGGTTTCTCGATGAATATTTTTCTTCCTTCCAAAGAGCAGAGAGGTTTCTGCCTGTCTTCAATTCTGCTCCCCTTTTCCAGGGCTGCTCCAACAACCCCACCATCACTGGGACTCCTCCAGTCATCACTGTTACTCAGGGTCAATTGGGTGACCAAGAGTCCACACAAAGAGACTAAAATGCAATGTCCCTATCCATAGGGCAAAGGCCAAGGAATCTTCAATCAATTCTCTTCTTTGTACTTTTCAAAACAGGTCCAATGTTTGGACCTCCTTCAGGGCAACATTTCTTAGATAGACATGCAGTTTCTGCTTCTGGGATTATTTCATGTCAGCAAAGCTCTGGAAATGGGGAGGTGCTGGTCAGATCAGGAATAAGAGATCCATGACAAGCTTGATTTTTTTCCCTTTAACTAATGTAAGTAAGCCTCTGCCTTGCTGTCATTATCTCAGCCTGTATCCTATATCATTCCCAGAAGCTTGGCTTCTATACCATGTTCTCTGCCATATTTCCAGGATTATCTATTTTTCCCCTACTCATGCTTTCTTTTTCATTTTTAATATTTTTATTGTAAAAATACTGTACAGAAGGGTTACAGTTACATGAGTAAGGTAATAAGTACGTTATCTATCGAGCATTGTTGCCTCTTCTTTGTTTTTCCCCTATCATCTCTTCCTTAGCCACCTCCCCAAGTAAGTACTGCCTGCCTTTCCCCTACCCTCTCCCCTGAAGTTGTAAAGTTTATTTTCAACATAGTGTCCTGTGTGTCTTATTGTTACAATGGCTGGACCTATATCCCTATTTAAGCATTTTGTTTTTTTCCCTACCCTCCCCAAATTAGAAATATATATATACAAGATGCAGGACAGTGACATCAAATACAGTGAAAACAGGGGGTAAACTGTGGTGGAGGAACATACCAAAGAAACAAAAAAATCCCTTAGTACATTATAAATGTTAAAAACAATAGCAAGAAAGAAATTACTATTTGTACACTTTCTTGGGGTTCATTTCCCTTAACATCATCTTACATGGTCATATATATACATAGTTTTTGACCTTTCTGCTTGCCCTAGACTTATACTAGTTATTACAAATAAGGGAAACCATGGGACCTATGTTTCTTTGGGCCTATCTTGCTTCATTTAATATAATTTTTTCCAAGTCTTTCCATTTTCTAAAAAATGGGGTGATGCCATTCTTTCTTATGGAGGCATATAATTAAATTGTGTGTGTGTGTGTGTGTGTGTGTGTGTGTATCACATTTTCTTGGTTCATTCATCTACTGAGGGGCATCTGGGTTGTTCCATATCTTAGCTATGATAAATAATGCAATAATGCTGTGATAAACACCATTGTTCTGGTAGCTTTAGTAAGGTCTTGTTTGTGATCATTTGGGTAGATGCCCAAAGTGGGATTTCTGGGTCATCGGGGAGTTTTATGTGAAGTATTTTGAGGAACCTCCATACTACTTTCCAAAGTGGTTGAACAAGTTTACACACTCACCAACAATATAGTAGGGTTCCCTTTTGGCCACATTCCCTCCAGCATCTGTCGATATTAGATTTCTTGATTATAGACATTCTAACTGGAGTGAGGTGGAATCTCAACGTTGTTCTGATTTGCAATTATTTTGTAGCTAGAGAAATTGAGCATATCTTCATATGTCTACTGGCCATTCTTATTTATTCTTTAGAGAAGTTTCTCTATGTCTTTAGCCTACTTATTTCCCATGCAATTTTTTTGAGGACTTGTTGTTGGGGGATTTAATTTTCTGAGTTCTAAGTATATTTTAGATATGAGACCCTTGTCTGTCGTATGGCTAGTGAAGATCTTCTCCCAATGTGTGGACTTTTTCAATTGATCTTGCTGTCTATGTCCTTTGCTATGCAGAAGCTCTGCAATTTCATGCAATCCCATTTTGTACAAATTTTCTTTGATTTTTTGTGTTTCTGGGTCTCTATTAAGAAAATTTTGGCCTATGCCAAGATCATCTAGGGTTTCTCCTATTCCTTCCTGTACTGTGTTCAGGGTGTAGGCTTTGATTCTGAGGTCTTTTATCCATTTAGAGTTGATTTTGGTGCAGGGTGATTTATAAGGATCTAGCTTAGTTTTCTAGAGGTATTTAAGCAATTTTTCCAGGACCATTTACTGCTGAGGCTGTCTTTCTTCCATTCTATTTCTTTTAGCTCCCTTGTCAAAAATTAGATGGCTATAGGTCTGTGGGTTCATTTCTTGGTCTTCAGTTCTATTCCATTGGTCCTAAGGTATGATCTTGTGCCAATACTAAGCTGCTTTCATTACTATGGCTTTGTAGTTAAGTTTCAAGTTTGGTACTGATATTCCTCCAGTACTGTCCTTTCTTCTAAGGATTGTTTTGGCTATTTGGGGTCTTTTATTGTTCTGCATGATTTTTTAGATTGCTTCTTCTAATTCATTGAAAAATGAGGTTGGAATATTGATAGGTATTGCATTGAATTTGTTGATAGCCTTTGGAAGTATTGCCATTTTCACAATGTAATTCTCCCAATCCAGGAGATTGGGAGGTTTCTTCACTTCCTAAGTTCTGCTTTAATTTCCATTTTAAAGTTTTTAAATTTTTCACCATAGAGGTGTTTCACTTGTTTAGTTAACTCCTATGTATTTTATTTTTTGTGTGGCTATTACAAAAGGAGTGATTGCAGCCATGCTCTTTTCATACAGAAGAGCATACAGAAAAGCCAATGAATTTCGAGAGTTAATTTTATACCTGATACTTTGCCAGAGTTTCAAATCAGCTGAAGCAATTTGGGAGTGGAGTCCGTGGGATTCTTCTTCTTTTTTTTTTTTGGTTGGCCATGGGGCTTGAACTCTGGGCCTGGGCGATGTTCCTGCGCTCTTCAGCTCAAGGCAAGCCCTCTATCTCTTGAGCCACAATGCCACTTTCAGTTTTCTAGTGGTTTATTGGAGATAAGAGTCTTAGGGACTTTTCCTGCCCAGGCTTGCTTTGAACTGCTATCCTCAGACCTCAGCCTCTTGAGGAGCTAGAATTACAGGCATGAGCCACCAGCTCCTGGTTTCCATGGGATTCTTTACAAGATCATGCCATCTGCAAAGAGGGGAGTTTTACTTCATCTTTCTCTATTTGGATCCCATTTATGTTTGCATCTTTTCTTATTGCTGTTGCTAGGCATTCTAATATGAAATTGAAGAGAAGTGGAGAGAGTGGACATCTTGTGTCATTCCTGAGTTTAGAGGAAATGGCCTTATCATTTTGCCATTAAGTATAATGCTGGCTTGCAAGTTTATCTAACACTGCCTTTATTATATTGAGGAATGTTCCATGGATTCCTAGTTTTTCTAGAGATTTCATCATAAAAGTGTTGAATCTTGTCAACTGCTTTTTTTGCATCTATTAAGATAATCATGTGGTTCTTATCCTTACTCTTGTTGATGTGATGATTTATATTAATTGATTTGCATATATGGAACCAGATTTGCATCCCTGAAATGAAGCCTGTTTGATCATGGTGTATGATTGTTTTGATGAGTTGTTGAAGTGAGTTGGCCAAAATTTTGTTGAGAAGTTTTGCATCCACATTCATCAAGTAATGGGTCTATAGTTCTTTTTCTCTCATGAGTTTCTGCCTGTTTGGGGATGAGGGTTATGATGGCTTCATAGAAGAGTTTAGTAGTATATTTTCACTTTCAATTTCATTGAAGTGTTGGAAGAGTATTAGTGTGAGATCTGCATTGAAGGCTGTTTAAAATTCCACTGTAAATCCATCTGGTCCTGGACTTTTCTGAGATGGGGGGTTTCTTATTGCTGTTTCTATTTCAATGCTTGATATAGATCTGTTAAGTTGGTGTAATTCAACTTGGTTTAGATTCCACATGTCAATATTTTCTAGCAAATCATCCATTTCCTCCAGATTCTCAAACTTATTCCTAGTCATAACTTTCAAAACTGGATTTGAAGTTTTTCATATGTTTTATACACATTTTGTTTCATGCATTTGAATGCAGGTGAGCTCACTACTTTCAGATCTCCAGAAATCCCTGTAAACTAGAAGTCACAGATAAATCTTCTCAGACAGTTGTATGGAAACACTCTGTATGGACTTTGAGAGGGGAATACTTTATGCCATGAAAGATTTGTGAGAGATACTGAAGCCAACTGAACATGGAGTGGAAGTGAAACAGATAGGGCTCATGTGTAAATCCAGAATTAGAAATGTACCTCTATGGGAGGTGGGAGAAGTCAAAGATTTCTTCTGCACTGTCCACTCTCTAATTGAGCTCTCTCTGTGTGCACACACTCTCACACCCCTTTTCCCACATGCTCACACATGCTCTGGTATTCGGACTTGAACTCAAATTCTGATGGCTGTCACTTAGTATTGATTTCGGGCACTCTACTACTTGACCCACAGCTCTGCTACTAGCTTCTGAGTGAGATAACAATCTCAAAGACATTCCTACACAAAGCGACTTCAAAACATAATCCTCAGATCTCAGCCTCCTTAGTAGCCGTAATTAAATGCCTGAGCCACCAGTTCCCAATTAATATTTAGTATTCCTAACATTCTAGCTGTCAAGCCACAGAATTACATTGTACAAGAGCATATCAAAAACAATCTAGAATTGAGATTCTTTCTATGAGAATTTCCCCAAACTGATTATATTGAATCCTAGGAGAACTTATAGTTGTGGAACATTCTTGATTCATATTAGCATGTGATACCATCTGGCCTTTGAAATGTCTCAGCAGAATTAGACCAGTAGGCCTGGTCTGGCTTTGTGCCTATCTTTCAAGAAATTCCAGGCAGGCCTCAGTTTTCCTGAGTGTGTAGTGACTTCCACAATGTCACCACTAGAGGGAGCAAAGGCCTTGAGGGAAGTGAGCTGGTGAGGTGATAGACCTCTTCAGTAGTAGAGAAAACCAAAGGCAAGTTGGGTGACAAATACTCTGTGGTTTTAAAAACCTCAAAGAGACCCCAATGAGTGGTGGGTCCCAGCATGCCTCCTCCTGGGAACACGGAGACCCATATGTTTCATGCACAGGAATGACCATATGATGGGATTCTGTTTAGCAATTGCAAGATCTGTGTGCTGGAACAGGTCTTAGTCACAGCCATGGCCACTAGAACTCTATTACAACTGGAATACCAGCCAGCAGGGACACCAAAACAGCTGAAGATTAATGAGGTTTCCATCTAAAAGTAGGGACCCTTCACTTATGATCCTTGAATTTGATCACAGAAGAACAAATTCTAGACAAGTCACAATGGTAAGAAAATGTGGCAGAGCTTTACTGAGCAAAGATGCAAACAAGCAAGCAGGAAGAGAAACAGGAAACAGAAAGGCACAGACACACTGCAACTGAGGAGAGGCACATGGCTCTTGGGCTGCCAAGGGTATTCATATGAAGGCAGGAGGTCTGACTTCAAACTTACACAAACATAGCTGGCTCATCTTTGTTCTAATCACTCCTGGTATTACACTTTCTGAGTTTCTGTATGTTTTGGACATTCTTTTCAGATACAAAGTCATCCTTCCCTAAAACAGATGATTACTTTTACAGTGAGGAAGGTGTGCTCTTGTCTATATTTTGGGTAGGACGTTGCTTATGTTTTTGGGGAGCATTTTTGGGGGAAGGCATCCTTTTGGCCATACAACTGTTAATTCATATGATAAGAAATATATCTCAGGAAGAAATGTATCCTGTTGTCTCTCTGAAGCAAAGTTAGTGCTTCTGTGTTTCTATATCATATGTTTCAGAGTTGCCTTCACCAAGACTCATTTTTTCCCCTCAATTTATCCAACTTCATTTTCTGCTCAGTGACTTTGGTCCCTTAATCTTAAGGGATATTGGTGAATGAATGTGTCTCTATTTGCTGTGAGAATAACATACCTCATTTCTCCTTATCTATGCTACTCCATTTTCCTCTGAATGACTTAATTCCCTTAATATTAAGAGAAGTAGATGACAAGCTTTAAGCTTGAGTTTTTGAATTCCTGGCATGCATTAACCAGGCCTCATTTTCCCTAGTCTACCCTGCCTCAGTACTACATCCTCAGTCCATTGCAATCAAGACCAGAGCAGTGCTGGGTAAGCATTAATATCCACCCAATTTGTGTGTAGTAGAAGTGTCCTCATGGGCCATGATGGCCACAATCATACACCATTAGTGATAGCTAGAATAGAACTGATTGTCTGGTGGTAGATGACTTTGCCAGGTACTGAGGTGATTACAGAGCTCTGCCAGAAGCTGACCTGGCTATGGGGTCATGGCATTGTTCTAGTGCTATCACCTGGCCCACACTAATCTGTGGGACAATATCACCATCTTGCTTCCCTGTCCTACTCATGACAAGTGGGCTGGAGAACTATGCTGTGTCATATCAGTGTGGTAAGTTTTGTCAAGGCAGCCACAGGCTCTGCACCAGTAGATGACACCTATAATCCTAGCTACTTAGAATGCTGACACCAGAGGATTGGGGTTCAAAGCAATCCTGGACAGAAAATTCAATGAGACTTTTATCTCCAATAAAACATCAGAAAACTGGTGGTGGCACTGTGGTCAAGTGGTGGAGCACTAGCCTTGACCTGAAGAATTCAGGGTCAGATACCAGGCCTAGAGTTCAAGCCCCAAAACTGACAAAAAAAAAGAAGCCATAAGGCCATTTTGGTGACCACCACCATGCACTCAGGCTTAATATCCCATCCAGAAAGCCCTAACTGTCATGTGGATACAGTGAGGCCCACACTCCAGCTTGTGCTGCTGTAGACCAATGCACACTAGTTTCCTAGAGCAACCTAAGTTTCTGCCTGGTACCACCTTGAGCACTGACCTTCTATGGCAATGGTCCCTGAGATGATTCACTGAGCAACAAGACTGGGACTGACCAGATGACAGCAGGGTCACACAGCAACAGTGGCTTCACAAGGCTAAACAGGAGGACAGGTGTCAGCCTATTCCACCCATGGTGGAAACTAATGCAAATGGCATTTGGTTCTGCCTCAGGGGCCTTCTAACACCTCTTGAAAGCTTCTAATGGAAGCTGTGGTGATAGCATGCAAACAGTGCCTCTAATTTATACTGGATTTTTGGTCCAACCATGACATGTCTGACACAGAGTTCTAAACAAAACCAGACCCACTATTCTTGCCCTGCTCACTAGGAGGCTGTATTCCATACATGGTGTTGTTCACAAGATTGAAGAGGAAGATTTTGGCAGTGTCTTTCTTCTCTGTCCTAAAACAGTTCCAGAGGCACAATCTAAATGTCTGTACCGAAGAGTAAAGACTATAAGAACTTTCCAAGCACTGGTCTCTGTATATAGGGATGATGCTGATATTTAACTTTAATTCACTCCCTCCCTGCAATGTCAGAGGGTTTCTGTCCATAATGAGCTACTATGGCTGGTGATGGGGAGGAACATGGAGATGGCTTCTTCTAACTTTTCTCACACATCCTTTTCTGTTTTTTGTTTGACTAGAGAAGTATCCTCCAGTTCACACTCCCTGACTCTCATATGTTCTTTGTTGGGTGGTGCAATCTTTATATTCTCACTTCCTCAGCTGCCATCTTGCTCTGCTTTTGGGGAATCCCCTTAAATGATCACATTCTCTGAGTCAATTTAGTGTGCTTCTACCACATGAAATGAATTGCATTTCTTTCTTTTTTTCTTTTCTTTCTTTCTTTTTTTTTTTTGCCCATCATGGGGCCTGAATTCTGGGCCTGGGTGCTGTCCCTTAGCTCTTCAGCTCAAGGCTAGCACTCTACCACTTGAACCAAAGCACCACTTCTGGCTTTTTCTGATTATGTGGTGCTGAGGAATTGAACACAGGGCCTCATGAATGCAAGGTAAGCACTCTACCTCTGAGCCACCATCCCAGCCCTTCTTTGTATTCTTTACATGACAAACAAGGCAAGATTTACTTCTTTGCAGAAGGGTGCCCCATCAGCAAGAGTGTGCCAAGCAAGCACAGAGACAAGGCAGCCTGTTTTCCTTTTTACTCCTAGCACAGCAGACCCTGCCTCTCTGCTCATATTGATTGTACTCAGGTGGACAATCAGCTCCCAATTTCAATTGTATTTCTTAAGAGTTTCTTCATATGCACAGCTAATTCAAAGTAGTTAATGGCTTGATATGTTACCTGGGCTTGCTCCAATGTCCCACACAACATTGTTTTTCACAAATCCATACGTGGCAGAGTGGAAAAGCCAGCTTGCTTATTCCCCCTTTCCCAACCTCTCTGCAATCTCAGAATAATCATCTTGAGTATGCTGATCAAAGCCGGTTCAGGAGCTCTTCAAATTGAAAGAACTTTTCTAAGACTCCAAATTATAATGTCATCTTGTTGGAAGGTAGGATCTATACATACTACTGTGTATAGAGATAAGCATTTGATTCAACAAAGTCATGAGATTTGCAGTTAATCATTTGTAATTCACGTATACCTACCCAAATATTTCTGGCCTTTTTGCAGGACCAACTTAAAGAAATACCAATTGCTTCTCACCCTGGTGCTTGCTGTGGAGGAGATCAACAAGAATCATCATCTGCTTCCCAACATGACTCTGGGGTTTGAGATCTATAGTGAACATTGCAAAGATACTGATATGTTAGAGGATCCTCTCATCTGGCTGTCTGGGAAGAATAAAAACAACCCTAATTATACCTGCAGAAGAGACAGCAAAGCTTTAGCAGCACTCACAGGAACCTCAAGCACATCTGTCGCAATTGGGACACTGCTAGACCTCTACAAACTTCCACAGGTGAGGCTGGGAGAGGTGGGCAGATGTGAAGCCATGTCCACATGGACTATGTTCTCAACAGGCTGAAAAAGAGGTGTTAGCACAAACCCTTCCAAATGCATGCTATTACAGGGAAAGGACTCCAAAAGTGGGTGGGACCTACACATTTTCTTTGCTGTAAAAATAAGTAAATAAAAGGAGAGATTGTAAAAGAGCAAAGGATAGCTCATAGCTCTCAGCCTTATCCATACATATCTACAATGAACTTGGAACATGGGAGATAACTTTGCAAGTGGGATAAGCAAACTTTCTCTCCCACCACTGCCAGTTGTTGTTTAGACTAATACTTGCCTATGACCATCATCTTCCTGCTGTTGTATTCATTCTTTCCCTGTAGTTCACCTTTGGGTCTTTTGATCCTCTCCTGAGTGACCATGGAAAGTTCAGTAGTGTCTATCAGATGGCTGCAAAGGACTCAGGTCTAGCTCTGGCCATGGTCTCCTTGATGCTTTATTTTAGATGGACCTGGGTGGGACTGTTTATCTCAGAAGACGACTACAGTGTGTGGTTCCTCTCAGAACTGAGAGACGAGATGGGCAAGAAAGGAATCTGTTTGGCCTTTGAGAACATGATCACTTACATAGCCATTTCAGATATCTCAAATGATCTATCAATGCATCTCCAGCTAATGGAATCATCAACCAATGTGATTATCATTTATGGGGACAGTAAATTTCTATTAAGCTTTATTATTAAATTTGGGCACTTTTTAATTACAGGGAAAGTCTGGGTCATGAACTCACCCTATGAGGACGTGACCATTGGTAAAAGATATTTTCTGATCAACTCCTTCCATGCACCTCTCATCTTCTCTCACCATCTTAGAAACACTTCTGGGTTCACCAATTTTATTCTGACAGATACATTGTCCAAGAACTCAGGAGTGGATTCCCTTTCCAGGGCATGGATTCAGTCTGTTTATTGCCTTCTGATTAAGTCTGACTGCAGAGACTTGGGACACTGTTCATACAATGCCACACTGGATTGGTTGCTTAGGCACATTTTTGACATGACCATGTCAGACGAGAGTTACAACATCTACAATGCTGTGTATGCTTTGGCACATGCCCTCCACCAGAGGTTTCTTCATCACACAGAAGAACCACAACGGGACAATATGCAACCAAGAGCATTTCTCTCTTCACAGGTAATGGCTTTGCTTTTGGGTGACCTACTCTAGGCATGCAGACTTTCTATAGAAGCTTTCATAGCAGATAGAACTAGGTGAACTGGCTCCATTTTGGATAGTACAAGAGACAGTGGGCCTGTCATCCTGTCCATGAAATGACTGTAGAGCTATGAAGACAATGTTCTTGAAGAAAGCTGCATCCCTGACAAGGAAGTGCTGTGTCTTCTGTCCCCATCTTCACTATGTGTGGAAAAAGCCATACCTTCTTCAATAGCATATATCCAAATTCTCCTTGTACCTTTTTAAAATGACAGATCAATTGTGATTAGTTCTTGAAAACCTACGATTGTCTGGACATAAGTGGCTCACACCTGTGGCTAACTCCTGACTACAATTAACCCCCAAAAAGCAAGAGGTGGAGCTGTGGCTCAATGGATAGAATGCTTACTTTGAAAAGAAAAAAAAAAACCTCAAGTTGAGGACCTAAGCCTGAGGTCGAGCCACAGGACAGGCACACACACACACACACACACACACACACACACACACACTCTGAACTAAGTCTTGCTTCATTTAATCTTTCGTAGTTATCATAAATATTCTATGATTCTACTTACATATTTTTCAGACTGACTCTCTTATCACAAACATAATATAAATGATTGGAATGCACTTTAGAGAGGTGGTTGAGGTCTGTCACATGATAATTCATTATTTGGTTGGATGTGGCTAGAGTTTTACTCCCTTTAAATTGAGTTTCTGCATCCCATCCTGGATAACCAGGTTTTAGAACTTGGTAACACTTTCTTCTGCTGTGAGCCTGCATTGATACAGTTGGTTGGATTTGTTTGGTGTGTGTGAATCAACTGGTGGGAATGAAGACTAATCTGTGTGCTTCCACTGTTCTGAGGTTCCATGATAAGTCCGGGAAGCACTTCATCATACTGTAATGTATCCATTTTAGCTGCATCCCTTTTTGAGGAAGATCCAATTTACCAATCCTGTTGGAGACCAAGTGGTTTTGAATGAGGAAAGGAAATTGGAGGCAGAGTATGACATTTTAAGTGTTTGGAATTTTCCTGAAGGTCTGGGACAAAGGGTGAAAGTTGGCGAGTTTTCTCCATCTAGGCCACATGGTCAACAACTGACTTTGTTTGAAAATCTGATAGAGTGGCCCATAGGAATTACCAAGGTGGGTCATTTCTACTTTTTTACTCTTTCCTTTTTTATAAAAAAAAATGTTTGTATTACGAAGTAGTTGTTGAAAGAGCTTACATTTCTCTTAGTCAGGTCATGAGTACAATGCTTGTAGACAATGTCACCACATCCTTATTTCTCCCCCAGAGGTGGTTGTTTCTAACCATAATGTCATGTTATGATCCATGCATAAATAAACAATGAGCTTTTCCTGTTTGAAATGTTGTTCACTAAAATTATGACTCAGTGGTATACATTTCACCACTTCTTGTTTCTGGAAATTTCTTACTAGTAGATTCATGGAAGGCATAGGGGAATATATCATTACCATTACGTTGTTATGTTGTTCTATGTTTATATTGAATATCATAAAAGGTGAATGACACCTGTGAACCATCATTCCAGCACTGTGACAAAATATCTGAGAGAACCAAATTAGAAGGCAGAAGAGCTTGCTTTGCTTCTGCCTGGAGATTTCAGACCATGGTTGGGTAGATGTTGCTTTTGAGTCTGTGCTGAGACAGGAGGCAATGAAAGGAGCATCTGCCAATGAAGTTCACCCACCTCATAAAAGCTGGGAAGCCAAGAGAGATGTGAATTACCTGGGTACAGCAGCACCTCCAAAGCAATTAGCCATGCTTTAGAGTGTAGGTTTGAAGTTTCCCTGAGTCATTTCCTCTCATGCTCTTATTCATCTGTTCACAGATGAATAAGAGAGAAAACACATCACCTGAATTCAAAAATGGGATGCAAGATTTAACTCCCAATTCCTAATTTCCTAGAATTAGCATTCAGTTCTTAAAGGCTCCATGACTTCCCAGTAGCATGGAGGACAGGGTGTCGAGGACCCCCATTTTCTTCAGGTCATGTTAGATGAAACTATAAGAAGGCTCAATCAATTCACTGGCTGTATGTATATCAAGATTATGTGTTTTGATGAACTTATCCTCCAAATCACTGGAGTATCTGGGATATCAGGTAAAATATGAATAGTCACTAACCTTCATCTGAATGTTCTCAGACTCCTCAGTCTGTCTGCACTGAGAGCTGTGGTCCTGGATTCAGGAAGACCTCTCTGGAGGGAAATGCTACCTGTTGCTTTGACTGCATTCCTTGCCCAGAGAATGAGATTTCTAATGTGACAGGTGAGTCTGGCAGTGATAGAGAAATTCCCATCCCTCCTTCCTAATCTTCAGTCCATGTAAGCCAGTGGAGTGATCTACAGTAGAAAAGCAGGGAAACACATGCACCTTCATTCAGAGTTCCATGGCTATCATTAACCATGCTTCTCCTTAGAAGGAACAGCACACTGCCCCTCCATTATATCTCTGATTGTATTTTCTAATATATTACAGGATTTATCTTGGGAATAAACCTGTTCCCCCCTCCTCATCCCATGTTTTTTTTTATTTAAAGAACGTGTAAAAAAAAGAAAATATCAAAGATCAATGGCTGACCTTTGAAATGATGTGCAAATAATCATGGAATTTTGGATCTAACATAGCCTTTCATTTCTGAGTGTCCTTTGCTGCTCTTTTCTAATTAAATTTTATTTTCTATTTATCATATACTAATAATACAAGGGGCTTTGTTATGATCACTCCATATCTGACACTGGCACTAGGCAGACTAGCAATTACTCAAATATAATTGATTCAGAAGTAGTTTACAATTTCCATTTCATTTCTCATCTCCCTCTCCCAGCTGATCTTTCCGAGAACCCCTTAAATCAGTGGAGGATCATTGTTCTTGACACAGATCAAATGCTCAGGAAGTTTGTATTTGTTGTAAAGAGTAGGCTGAGGTTTGGATTAGACCCTCTTGTTAAAAATGGATCGATAGGGCTGGTTCTCTATTCTCCATAATTTCTTGAATGAGTAGCAATGAGTCAGAGTGGTATGAACTGCCAAGAACGCAGCACATAATACTAAGTATTTATATATTACACCTGTAATCCAAGAGACTCAGGCAGTTGAGATTTTAGGATGGAGCTTGGATGCAATGATGGGCAGGAAACTCAGTAAGATGCATTTCCACAATTAAGCAACAAAAAAGGTGAACGAATACTCTGGAAAAATTCCCAGGTCCAGAGTTCAAGCATAGAAAGAAAGAAAGAAAGAAAGAAAGAAAGAAAGAAAGAAAGAAAGAAAGAAAGAGAGAGAGAGAGAGAGGGAGGGAGGGAGGGAGGGAGGGAGGGAAAGAGGGAGGGAGGGAGGGAGGAAGAAAGGGAGAAGGAGGGAGGGACGAGGGAGAAAGGAGGGGGAGAAGGAAGAAAGGAAAGAAGAAAGGAAGGAAGGGTGAAGGAAAGAGATAATTTAAAAAGTGCATGTGAGGAAGGAAAAGAGAAGAAATATGAGAAAGAAAACAAATTCACCTGAATGTTCTATTTTTATTTTTTTATTGTGAAAATAACCTACAGAGAGGTTACAATTACATAAACAAGTTAATGAGTACATTTCTGATCAAGAATTATTGCCTCCTCCTTTGTTTCTCCTTACCATCACATCCCATCTCCCCACCTGCCCCCTTGTCCCCACCCCCACTTCCCAACCCCCAAAGTTCTAAAGTTTGTTTTTCAACATAATGTCTTGTAAATCTCATTGTTGCAATGGGTCCACCTGTATCCCTATTTTAAAAATTTGTTTTTTCCCTTCCCTTCCACATATTACACCAACATCAAATACAGCTAAAACAGGGGTATGGGGGAGGGACATACAAAGAAATCATCTTATAAATGTGTTAGAAACAATAGAAAGAAAGAAAAAAAAACATTTGTGTGTTTATCTTGGGGTCCATTTCACCTAACATCAACTTATCTGACAGTTTCTGCTTGTCACAGATGTATACTGGTTACTGCAAATAAGGAAAACCATGGGGCCTATATTGCTTTAGGCCTGGCTTACTTCACTATATAATTTTTTCAAAATATATATATATATAAACTTTTCCAAGTCTTTCCATTTCCTAACAAATGGGGCAATGTCATTCTTTCTGATGGAGGCAAAGAATTCAATTTTGTATATATACCACATTTTCTTGATCCATTCATCTACTGAGGGGCATCTGGGTTGTTTCCATATCTTAGCTATGGTAAATAATGTTGCAATAAACATAGTTGTGCTGGTAACTTTAGTATAGTCTTGTTCGTGATCATTTGGGTAAATCCCCAAAAGTGGGATTTCTGTTTCATAGGGGAGCTCTATGTGGAGTCTTTTGAGGAACCTCCATGCTACTTTCCAAAGTGTTTGAACAAGTTTACACTCCCACCAACAATGCAGTAGGCTTCCCTTCTGTCCACATTCCCCCAGCATCTGTTGTTATTAGAGTTCTTGTTTACATCCATTCTGACTGGGGGCTAGGTAGTATCTTAGTGATGTTTTAATTTGCATTTCTTTCATAGCTAGGGAGGTTGAGAATTTCTGAAAGATTTTTATATAGAGAGTTACCCTATTTTTATTGAAAGCTATACAGATCAACATGTGAATCAGGGAAAATGAGCTGCTAAAGTAGAGGGGGATGAGAGGAAAGAGAAGTACTGAACCCGACTAATAGTGATTCTCACTCCTCACCAGACATGGAGCAGTGTATGAGGTGTCCAGATCTTCAGTTTGCCAACACTGAGAGAAAACGCTGCCTGATGAAAACTGAGAGCTTCCTAGCTTATGAAGACCCCTTGGGCATGACTCTGATCTGCACAGCTCTCTGCTGCTCTGCACTTACAGCTTTTGTTCTTGGGGTATTTATCAAGCACCAAGACACCCCTGTTGTCAAGGCCAATAACCGGGCCCTCAGCTACATCCTGCTCATCTCCATCACCTGCTGCTTCCTCTGCTCCTTGCTCTTTCTTGGCCATCCGCATACAGCCACCTGCATCCTCCAGCACACCACATTTGCAGTGGTCTTCACTGTGGCTGTCTCCACAGTCCTGGCCAAGACCGTCACTGTGGTTCTGGCCTTCACACTTACTGCTCCAGGGAGAAGCATGAGGCAGTTACTGGTGTCCCGGGCTCCTAACCTCATCATCCCCATCTGCACCCTCATCCAGGTGACCCTCTGTGGACTCTGGCTGCATATCTCTCCTCCCTTTGTGGACAGAGATGCACACTCTGAACATGGCCATGTCATCATCCTGTGCAACAAGGGCTCCCTCACTGTTTTCTACTGTGTTCTGGGATACCTGGGCACCTTGGCCTTGGCCAGCTTCACGGTGGCTTTTCTGGCCAGGAACCTGCCTGACACCTTCAATGAGGCCAAGTTCCTGACCTTCAGCATGCTGGTGTTCTGCAGTGTGTGGCTCACCTTCCTGCCTGTCTACCACAGCACCAAGGGGAAGGTCATGGTGGCCGTGGAGGTCTTCTCCATCTTGTCCTCTAGTGGAGGTCTCCTGGGCTGCATCTTTGCCCCCAAGTGCTACATCATCTTGATAAGACCTGAGAGAAATTCTCTGAATAGGTTTAGGGAAAGATCACCTGGAAGAAATCAATCTTAAGATGAATGTAATTTTGTCGGGAATGCTTAGAAGTTCTGAGACACAGGTATGCAATTTTGGCAGCCAAAAATCAATTTAACCTAAGCAATTCTTTCAACAAATAAATTACTCTTATTCATTTTGCTGTTATGTTAGAGTCACAGCAAGTTTCCATCTAGATGTTGTACATTTTCATTTTATCTTAGATATGCTTTGTTTCCTCCAATGTAATCTGCCTTTATTCTATCAATCATCTTTTTGAGTACATTATCTACTATGATTCTTCCTTTCCCTGTAAGTAGGCTATATCACTGCTTGCATATCACTATATTGATCACTGATATATGAACATTTATCTTGGTAAAAGTTTCCATGCTTTGATTTCAATTAATTGAATATATTTTCTGAGAAATTTGTATATTTCTGTTCACATATTTGCTGTTTTGCAATATTACTGAGTGTGTTTTCCTAGGAAATCTCTCCCACCCAACCCCTCCCTCGCTCTTTCCTGCCCTTTAGTATTTTAGTTCAGGATATTAATCAGCACCAGTATCACATGGGAATCTTTATGTGTACCTTTTCCTGGAAAAAGGGTCAGGGCATCAACATGACTTAAGCTGTCCAAACGAACCACTGGAGGAATAGTTTGGTTATTGATGATTATATCTCATTGGAAGTTGAAGATAGAGTTAGCATGACTGTCAGAGTTGAGCATTGTCATTTCACTCTCTAACAATCCTCAATGTTAATAGAGAAAGAGAAAAGGATCCGCAGGATGGGTAAAATACATTAGAACATGCTCAGACTCAATATCTGTCAATGTTCTTCAAATAGTATGAGAGAAGGAACAATTCAACCATTCAGAAAGCTCCCTGAAGAAATCAAAATCTGTTGCCTGTTTATTTGGAATGTGAGTTGAGGCTTCTTGACTTGCCATTTTTCTTGTGTTTCTATGGCTTGTTCTGCCCACTTGGATATGGCAACAGAGCACTCAATGAAAAATCTAGAGGACAGTTCTTAAAATGCTCTAGAAACACTACTGGTAAGCATGCTGAAAGAAAAGGGCCCTTTTAGTGACAGAGTTCAAGGGAAAGGCTATAAGAAAAAAATTGGGAATCCAGATGTGAAAGAAGTTAATGAGGCCAAGAAGGACCAGATGGCCTTAATTGGACAGAGGCAGCAGTAATGGAGGAGTTTCTGAATTCTGCAGAGAGGTATAGCTTGTCACTGATGTGAAATAATGACCCCAAGTGTGACTAACATCTGGCATAACTGGACCTTGTCTTTCAAGTTTCTGTAGCCCCAAGAGATTTAAGAAGGAGAATGGAATGCTTGTTATTTTTTTTTTACTAATTCATAAAAGATATTTATTACTAGTTTTAAATTTAAAATTTAAATTGTTATTATAAAGGTTATATACAGGGGGATTATACTTACCCAAGTCAGGTAAAGAATACATTTCTTTTTGGATAATGTCATCTCTTTCCTTGTTCTTTCCCAGTTTTTCCCTCCATTTCCAACCACATGTTGTATAGTTCATTTACCACATAGTGTCTAGTGAGTACAACTCATGCATTGGTTCACTCTTTGTCCCTCCATTTCCCTAATCAAATTGTAAAGGCCTCCCCTCTTAATATTGTCATATCAGAGAAGATACATTCAAACCATAGCAAAGACAAAGCTGAAGGAAGAGCTGTGGATCTGAAGAGTGAAAAAGTTCAGGTGGTAGAAAATCATTGCCTTTTTAAAACATGGGATAAAAAAATCAAAGCAATGCTTTAGAAAGACTGATTTAACACTGTAATGGTGGGGGGAGAATGAAATGAGAAGAAATTGGAGAATAATGAAACTGAAGTAGAGATTGTGTATCTTTACATTTGGATTGGAAAGTATATGAGTTACATATGTAACAGTATGGCAGATATTGCCAGATATGGAAGTTAAGTCTAAACTATAAACATATGAAAAATATTGACTAAAAATGGTACACTTAAGGGAGGATTCCAAGAGAATAGATCCTTTGAACAACTAATGAGCAGGATGCTTGGTAGTTAGCTCAGCTAAATGCCCGAAGAGAAGGAGGTCGTATTGGAGAAAAAAACAAGAGGATAGGTTGAGATTAGTCAAGACCTTTTGTAGGGTTTGGCCAAAGTAATGGGGGCTGTTTCTAAAACCTTTAGGCGATACTGTCCTGGTAGTTGTTGAGCCTGAAGGATATCTGGATCTTTTCTAGAGGAAGACAAAGAGGTTTCTTAAGGTGAGGTGTAAGGGGATATTAAAGAAGGTGTCCTTTAAATGAAAAACAGAAAAGACTGGGGAGTTGGAGGAGATGTGGGAGAGGAGGGTTGGATACAATAAGAACAGATGAGATGACTCTCTGATTAATTTTTCAGAGATCCAAAAGCAAGCAATAGGAACCATTAGGTGTTTATTTTTTAATTTTTAAAATGGGGGCTTGTGGGGAGAGTGAATGGGAATCAGGAGAGAGGCAGAAAGTAGGTGAATGATAATAGGCTCTGGCTCTCAGTGGGTAGCAGGAAACAGGGGATATTCATTTGGGTTTAAAGAAAGAATGTGAGAACTTTAAGGGAAATAAGAACTGGGTCACGGTGGGAGGCAATGGGGGTGGGTGTCCTGAACTGTCCCAAACTAAGGGAATTGACTTCTAGGAGGGGATTTGGGGGAGCAGAGGATTGGGTTTGGTATGGGGGCTTGTTTGAGTCTGGCTTGCTCCGGAGGAGAAAAATAGGGGTGGATTTTAAGGGTGGGATATATAAGGAAACACTTAATTTAGAAAACAGATCCCTTCTTAACAACAGCAGAACACCCTGAGGCATAATGAGAAAGTAATTGCTGACAGTTATGTTTCCAAACTGGCAAGGTACAGCAGGAGTGTGGAGGGGCTTAAAAGGAGTCCCTGTAACACCCCCCTCCCCAGTAACTGTGAAGTTGGAGAGGGTGGAAGAACCTCTCCAGGAGGATAGAAGGGACATCAATGCCCCAGTGTCCAGAAGAAAGTCAATATAGCTAGGCACTGTGGCTCACACCTATAAACCTCTGAGCTCCCAAGGCCCTGAGTTCAAATCTCAGGACTGGCACAAAACAAAAATAATTTTAAAAAATATGTAAAGATAAAAACGCGATGATTTCTCAGGAGGATGAAGCACTACTGGGGTTCAAGTAGCTAACTGAAATGCCTCAATAATCCTATAGATGATGATGATGGTGATGATGATGATAACAACAATCAAGATCATGATATTGAGGAGGAGGAGGAGGAGGAGGACCATAATTTTAGTTACTAAATTCCTATTCAATGTGGATATTATCTATTCCATTGTTTGTCTCCCCAGCTAAGCACCATTAAAAATGAGGGATTTGGGGCCTAAGAGCTCAAAATCACATCCCAGTCTGCTCAGTTTGTAATTTTCAGCTAATGTTGAAAAACAGCTTTGAACTACAAGCCTATATGTTGGGTTATCCATGAATTATATATGTATAAATATAATTAGTATTATTTTGCCGGTCCAGGGGCTTGATTCAGGGCATAAGCATTGTTCCTGAGCTTCTCTTATTCAATGCTAGGAAGTTACCACTTGAACCAAAACTGCACTTCCAGTTATTTTAGTAATACATTGGAGATAAGAGTCTCATGGAATTTCTTGCTTGGACTGGCTTCAAACCTAGATCCTCTGATCTCACACTCATGAGTAGCTAGAATTTCAGACATGAGCCACAGGCTCACAGTGATAATTTTTTTGATAATGACAGTTTCCCTACTATATTACTGTGGACTAAATTCTGATTTGGGACATTTGACTACATGTTGTGATACAGGATTTCAATTAAATGCTCTGATCACCACAACACTTCTGAGAAGCAAGCTAAGTACAACAGTAGCATACTGAAGATCACAGGTTCTTTAATATCAGATTAGTTTTGAATTCTACGAACACAATTTTTGTGTGACTGTACTGCAGCTTGAACTTAGGGATTTGTGCTCTCACTTGACATTATTAATTAAGATGAAGACTCTACAACTTGAATCATAGCTTCACTTCTGGCTTTTTGCTAGTTAATTAGAGATAAAAGTCTTATGGATTTTTCTGCCCAGGCTGGCTTTATGCTGAGATGGTCAGATTTCATCCTCCTGAGTAGGTAGTATTATAGGTGTGAGCCAACAGCACCTGCCTCCTTGGGCATGTTTTGAGACATTTTAAATTGCAGACAGGTCATAAGGTGAGTATTTTTCACCTTATAGTGTGATTTATCACTTAGGATTCTGTCAAGAAGTAGAAACCCAACTAGTAACTTTAATAGAGATAGTGGAACATAGACAATTGGTTGGCTGGATGGTGACATGAGAGCAAAGGCAAGATGAGGACAATGCAGCAATAAACATATTAGCTGAAGGGAACTTCTGACCACCATAGATGGCTTAGATAGTTCTGCTCTGCAATTTCCACAGGGCACTTTGAATCACTGTGTTCCCCAGGCTGTAGATAAAGGGGTTCAGCATGGGGTGACCACAGTGTACATCACTGAGGCCACTGCTTGTTTCCTTGGAGAATAGGACACTGTTGACCCAAGGTACACACCAATGGTGGTCCCATAAAATAAACATACTATGCAGAGTTGAGAGCCACAGGTGGAGAAAGCTTTATCCTTCCCACCTGCTGATGTGATTCTCAGAATAGAAGAAATGATATTATAGTATGAGAAAATGATTCCAGAGGTAGGAAATAAAACGAATAGGGAACCAGCAAAATATAGGGCTAGGTTTTTTGTTTGTTTTTGTTTTCTTTTTTTATTGTGAAAATACTGTACATAGGGATTTCTATTACCTGGGCAAGATAATGAGTACATTTCTTATCAGGCATTGTTGCCTTCTCCTTTGTTTCCCCTTCCCATCCATTCTCATCTCCCTCCTCCTCCTACCTCCCTACCCCGCACACCAAAGTTGTAAAGTTCCTTTTTCAACATAATGATTTGTACATCTCATTGTTGCAATGGGTCCACCT